GTCCGGGCTGGGGCTGCCACTGCTCCTCCTGTGGTCTTCAAGGGGATGAAAACAGGGCGGGAGGGGGGGGAAATTAAAAACATGGAAGAAGCAGCAAAATTCCAGCTCTCTCCCTGCCCTCCCTCAGCGAGGGAGGGAGAGATAAAGAGAGAACAGTTCGGTATTGTTCCGCGCGCTCAACTTGTACCCAAAGTCATGGCATTTATGAAATTCCAAACACTGGCCTGATTTATGCAATCTGGCAGCTCTCCTTGTTGTTTTATTCCTGTTAACACTAACTATCAGGCCTTGCTATATAAGGCGACGAGAAGTGCTAACTATATCCTGCAGAGAGAGCAAGTGAGGTAGGAGAAGCAGAGACGGAGGCTCCTGGAACATCTGATACATTTCCATAAAGGCCAAAGTGTTATTTAGAGCAGCGCTCCCTGCTCTTGGCACGAGCTGCAGGGTGGGAAAACTTCTGGACTGTAATCAACCTGCGAGTTCCAAAAATCCATTCCGCCCCCCCTCAAAAAAAAAAAACAAAACCAAAACAACCAACCACTTCTCCTCCCTCGTGGTTTCCGAGTTTAACCTCTCCTCAGGGGAGAGAAATAAACAGTTTATGCAATAAAAAACTTGATCAAAAAAGTCTCTCTTGCGGACGAAGGGCGGGATGGTCTGACGTGCTGATGCAGCCAGCTGCGGCGAGTGCCGGCTGCCTGGAAACGTGACACGGTTCCTCAGCTACTCCTGCACCACCACCTTTGCTATCAGGTACCAGGCCCCGCATAAATCATGAATAACTGCTCCCAGTCGCCAAGCGTGTGCACAGACATACGTGTACTCACCTTGGTCCCGTTACACACGAGCGTTTGACTACAAAACCAAACTCTGTAAAGCCGAGAAGCGTAACTTGTCTGTTCCAAGGATTCCTATACCTGCCCGTAATTGCCCCCCAATTTTAACCACTTTCACTTAGTGCTGAAGAGCCATTCTTCAGTCAGAGCACCAAAAAAAATGTGCTGCAAAGGAACAATAGAGCAAAGCACCCCCACAACACGGCTCTGAAACGCAAGGAGGATGTTTAGATGGGAAGAGGAAATTCCTTACTTTGCAAGAGAGCAGCTCTGGGAAGCCAAGGCAAAGGAATCCTCACTCCAGTGAGGCAAAGGTAAGTAAAATTCGTTGGTGTATTTTAAGTAAAAGCAGCCTATTAGCAACAACTTGAGATCAAGTCCTTCCCCCCGGCATCCTTTCCAGCACTAAGCTTGACCAGGCCATTTACAAAGACAAACACCCATCGGGTTTTGTCGTCTGTCCTCCAGAAACGAGGCAGGAAAGGACCGAATTAGTCATTTGTCTTTGCAAGCCGCTCCAGACCCTGGGGCCTCGTGGCCCTGCGTGTGGTGAACGTAGCTACTCCCTCTCGCAGGCATTTGTTTACTCCACAGAAAGGCTAAAAGGGGCTTGCTGGGCTGGCAGCTGAGTCAGGAACAGCAAAAGCCCGAGCGGAGGTTAACTGCCGGGGCAGCGCGCCGGCAGACCTCGCCGGGATCAAGCCATGCGAGGGATTATTTCATTCTGGATCCTATGAGTTAAAGATTCCAGGACAATGAAGTAGTGGTTGATTATCTTGCAGGGGCACGTAAGCCTCAAGTTCTGCAGCTGAGGTTGCCAAGGAGGGGGAGGGCACATTCCCTGGGGGCTGGTGGTGTCACCAGCATCACCCCCGGTGCTGGCTGGAGGGTGCCAAGAGCAGCACCCCATCAGAAGGTCTCCGGAACAGACTGTCGAGGTACTTTGAGTGAAGTTACGCAGCTGTAACGCTGGAGAGAAACCTCAGAAGGGATCAGCCACGCTGCATTCGTACCGACCGGGCACGAGGGACACGGCACCGACAGGGCTGTCACTTTAACCTGATGGGGAGGGAAAAGCTTTTGCAAAATCAACAGCCTTTCTTGTTAACCTCCTTCCTTCCTCGGAAATAATTTCTTCCATGCTCTGGCTTAACCTTTCCTGACATTTCTGCTGAGGGCAGAGAGGCGGCTGGTGAAAGTTTATGCCACGTGCTGGAACGCTCGGGTCCAGCCAGAACAACGCGCTCCAAATCCAGCTCCAGAGACTCACAAAAGGGCTCCTGTTGAACGGGAATCCGCCGCCCCTGCAGCCTCATGCCAACGGAGGAGGACTTCAAACTACAAGGCAGCTGCCAGGGAAGGAAGGGATGGAACAGGGACAATGGGACTTGCTCAGACAAGGAACATCTTGCAGGAGACTTTTCAGAGCAGGTAACAGGCCTGTGCTGAAAGCTGGGGGCAGAACCACAACGCAGGGCAAACTCACTCCTTACCATGAGGTGCACGTGGCAGGAACACTGAGGTTCCCCAGGGCATCCTGGGGTTTTGACAGATCCCTCAGGATGGCATGCGGAGAGGCCAGGACAAGCATGGCCATCTGGGCAAGGTGCCCCCTTCTGGGAGAGGTTACTGACACCATTCAGCCGACGTGCTGATCACTTCTCTCACGGCAAAAAGATGACCAGTACCAGTACGCATTTCTCAAGGGTGCAGTGAATTTGGAGAAGAGGAAGATAATATTTAGGTGCTAGAAAAGCAGAGACACCTCCCCGTCCTATCCATTTCTGGCCCCTCAAGGGATGTGAAAGCATCCTTCTCCAGTTACACCTTTTAACTCGGAAAGGCAGCAGACCTTAGCACAGGGGCTTCTCTCCAACTCCTTTCACACCCAAGCACAGACCCCAGACTGCTCCCGACTTCTTCTGCCAATGCCTGCTGCAGGTTTCCCTGACAGGAGGAACTTCCAACACCTAATGGGAACAGGAACCCCTTTCTGGGTACAGGCTGTCTGCTTCCCAGGGAGGATTCAATTAAGAGCTTCCCTGCCAGCAGCCTGATGACTCCAGATACGAATCACTTCCCTAAACTCCTCACACTAAGCTGCAACCGCCCTGCCTCGACTGAATTTCTTTCCCTGTATATCATCAGCAGGATTTGTTTCATGCCCCTGGATTAGGAGAATGAAGCTGTTATTGCAGCTGCTCTTTGCTCAAGCTCCCCAGCCTTAAAACTGGCGACGGCCTACGCTAGCCTCTAGCTTTCGTAGAGAAAAGATTCCCCGTGCCACCACGCCGGAATTTGTCAGGTGGGGAGCATGCAAATCTATCTCCTGTGGCATAGGAGGCCAGAGAAGAGGGGGAAGCTGGCCTTTAGAGGTGCAAAAATAACCCTCAGCTGCAGTACAGCTGAAACAGAGGCTCATTTGCACAGCGAGGTGCTGCACGTGCAACCCAGGGTGCAGAGTACGCTCCCGGATTAGTCCCATCAAGCTCAGTCATTTTGGGCAGTTTATCCTCCAAAACCTACCTGAATTGTGCTCACTCATACTCCCTGCCCTACTCCCCTTTGGAGAAAGGGCAATAAAACACCGTCCGAGTTGCTTAGGGATCGCTAACGCGAGCGCAGAAGCTGCTAAACGCACGACAGCAGGAACGCAGGCTTGGACGGGGGACGTGGGAAAAGGGTCTGTCCTCCAGCCACCACACAGCCGAGGGAGGGCCCCCAGGCTGCGCTTCTACATGGCCACTCATCTCACGGCAAACCGAGGTTTCTGCCCCTCCCAGCCCTTCTTTGCAGCACCCACGTGTCCCCACAGATCCCCCGTAGTGACACCCATCCCACTGATCCCGCAGCCATACGCTGCCTCTCTGAAAACATGGATCATTCCAATCTCTCGGCAGCATGTTCTGCCTCCTGTCACCGGGTCAGATACCCGGTTTGGAGCACAGCCACCCACCTCGTCGAGCTGGTACAACCATGAAGAAAACCACTAGCAGGAACAGGAGCAGAAGTCGGGATTTTCACTGGGCTTCCTACGGAAGCAGCACAACACAACCTCAACAAATACCAGTTTTTAAAACCACCAGAAGGAACCAAGTCAGTCCTACCTGCAGCTGGTTACGGCTGACAGCCCTTGTGTGTCTCCTGAGAAGCCAGACAGACATCAGAACTCAGCAGTATATTCCGTATCCATCCTCCATCAGATCTCTCGGAGCGCAGCGGGAGTTCACAGCCTCCTCCCGGTCAGTTTGCCACCCCTGGCCTATTTAGAAGGTCTGAATGCCCCAACTTCACGCATGCGATTGCACGTCGTTTCCTTACCGAAGGGGATGGGAAAGCACTTGGCTCAAACCACTTCTGATCCTCTGCCCAAAACATTAGGCCAACTTTTCCTAGTGCTCCGGCATGTGACAGCGAACTGCTGTAACATACACAAAAGGCAACCGAAGCCGGGCGGATAATACCACATTCATCTACTCACTGGATACGAGACAACTTGCAGCGAGAGGAACAAAGGCAGCTACCCCGTATGAAAGGCCCCGTTAAAGACAGCGGGCCTGAAATTCAGCCTTTCAGCTGCCCCGAAATGCCCTTCTCAACCGCCCGCAAGAATCGGAGTCCTCCTCCTCCTCTGGCCAAAGGCTCCTCCAGAACTCATCGGGTAACATCTAGAAGCCCAGCCTCTCAGATCGAGGGCCAAGAAGCAATTCAAAGCCGTGCTTCAGGCTGTGCCTTGTCTCGGGATTGAGCTGCTGCCTTTGATGCTCCAGGACCCTTCTGATCCAGAGGTGGGAAAATTCTCTCACACCCCAATCAAGGCTTCAGTCCCACACTCAGCCCGCGTTTAACCTTCTGCCAAAACCACTCTGCTCACTCCCTAAACACGTCTTCTCCCCTCCACGAGCACACACCTCGCGTTCCATCCTCCGCTACATCTGCTTCGGCGTGCCCTTCCGGCACCTGACCCCAACTACTGCGAAAGCCGGAAATATTTGCTTTTGTTCCCAGTGTAATGAAGCGGATTTCAAAGCTGATCCACCCTCCCAGTTAGGGAACTCGTGTGCAGAAAGAAACAACCTGTAACGCTACGGAAAAGCGGAGACGGACACCACGAACCAGAAGAACACTCGGGGCTGAACACGAGAGAGAACAGTCAGAGCCTCATTTCCCACTGGGGCTGAGAAGCCCAAGGTCCCGGGGAGGACAGGAGCAGGTGAAAGATGACATGGGGCACTGGCACAGCTCAGCTGCTCCGGCAGTCCGGGGAGCACTGCCCCACGGGTGCCACTAGGATCACGCTGAGATATTTGCGAAAACAGCTGGTACCCTCCGGAGAAGGGGGATGAACAATCACGGCCCTTTCTCCAGGTCTGGCACGAAGAGCAGACGGCCCTGGCCAGCTTCAGAATGCGAGAGGGGAGGAACACATGGGCTGCGCCCCGTCACCCTTGGAGCAGCTCTTCACCTCCAGACTGAAGACTCCGCTGCGTTACTCACAGTGCCAATTGCATTTAAAGAGGGTACAAGTCCTGGAAGATGAGAAAACTCGACTGCATCCTTGGATTTCTCCCACTCCAGCAGTGGAAAGAGCCGTGGGTTTGTTACAAAGACAGGAACACTTTCCACAGACCGCAAACCCCGAAGGCACAGCTATTACCTTTCTAGCCGCGTGCTAAAGACGAGACTCTGGATCCTTAAAAGGCTAAAGAGGCTTCCTGTAACCTCTCCACGGAATGGGGCTCAGACAGCCTGCGGCACTTCTTCAGGGGTTCAGGGGCAGAGATTTGCATCGAGAACAAGCAGACGCATTACTTAGAGCTTTTCTTCAAATCTGACACGTAATCACGACACACCTTCACTCCTACTAATCAAACCGAGACACGCCAGCCAGAGAAAGGAGCAAAAGCAGTCAGGAATAGCTCACACTTGAATAACCAGCAAGAGCTGCACGCTGAAAAGGCAGCCTGAAAGCTTCTGGTTCAATGGCTGGAGCCCAAGGACTATTCCTGGCTGAGACCGCAAAGCACCAACCTGAAAAGCATCCCAACTTTGCCTCCGGCAGCAAGTGGCTTTGGCAAATGCTGGTGGGAAAACAATGACCTCTTGTGCCACCCTGTACAAGCTAGGAGGGCGGCAGGACTCAAGGAATGAAAGCTGTCATGCTGCAAGGAGGGGAAAAAAAAAAAAGCTGTGGGTCTTACAGGGCAGTCAACGAGGCATCACATCGAGCCTTCGTTATCCTCTGTTCATCCTCAAAGCGAGATGGTTTCCAGGTTTAGAGTCCAAACTAAATCCTTCCAAATTCTCAGTCAGGACTTTTGAATAAAGCAAGAGATGTTTTTTTCCTCTAAATAAATCTGTTGCTGGTGGTGTTGAAGGAAAGCCAAAAAGCCCAGCAACAGCCAAACACAAGAGACAAGGTGTTCCCAGATCATTTTGCAAAGCACAAAAGTCCCTCTGGGAGAAGAGAGACTAGTTCCATACTTAACCTGGCTGTAGAGTGGATTTCCAGGCAGTTCTAGCAAAGGGCTTGCTCTTCACATGTTTGTTTTCCTCCTCTGTTAGTTTACATCTCAAATTAGCTTTAATACACAGCGGGATGTTGATTTTAAGACCAGGACAGCAGGGCCAATCATCTGCTGATACAAACATGCAACGCCAGCAGGTCTTCAAGTTCAGCTGGACGGAGAATACGGCTCATCCTAACGCTTGCGCTGGCTCATCTCACCCGTAACAACGCGGCACGGCCTCCCACCCCTCGGCACCTACGTGGCCATGCACAACATCTGCTTATTCCTTAAGGCAGAGTAGGTCCCTGCAACCTCCTGGCTGTCAGAATAGCGGAGCTGCCCTTCCCGCCGGTACTGTTTGCACAGGAACGTTTAGATCTCTCCTTTATAAAAGTGAAGATTACCAGGAAACAAAACAATCACGATCCAGACCCGCCACCCCACCCAAAGAGTTTCATTGTTCCAGTTACCCTCTGCCCTCTATATTTTCCCTAAAAGCATCTAAACAGCTTGTTGGATGGTCACTCACCTTTTGTTTTCCTATCCACCGCAACTGGTTTCTTAGTTTCTGCCGTAAGCAGCAGCTCGTAGGGGTGTTCCTCTTCCTCAGCTCCACTTCCCCTGCTCTTTCCTCGTGTACCAGAGGCCTAATGAGAAAGAGCATAATGCAGTGCTCCACAAAGCAATGCTGTTTATCCCGGCGACACAGCACAAGGCCTCTTTATGCCATGGTTTAAGCAAGGAATTGGCAGAGGCAACACCTTCACCGTGGCGTGTGATCCAAAATGTAATAGCCCTTTTTCCCCGCCTCCCTCAAAACAACCCACCCAAACCCCCTTTACTCTCTTGTATGGAAGGTTGCTGACAGCTTTCTAGCACCGACCAACTGATCCACTTGCGCCAGGGCTGCAGACAGCCCGGAGCGGGAAAAGAGCTGAGACCGTTATTCCTGTTCATCCCAACTCAGATTTACTGTTGCTAGTGGAATTTGCATCGTCATTCACTATTAAGTTGCCAGCCCTATTAGCACACAGCTAAAAAAAAAAAAAAAAGCCCATATCCCTGCCACCTTCTCAGAAGTCCCAAATCTAGCATTTCTAACCTCAGGATGCCCAGCGTATTTAGGACCAAGGAGCCCTCAGGCAACACTGTATACACGGGGGTTAAACTCGGGTTAACCCTGCGATGCGCAGCAGCGGCTGTGCTCATTTCAATCCCCAACAGCCTCTGATTAGAGCTCGTTTGTGATGCTGGCAGACGCTCCAGCAAGCTGCCCTGGAAAGCCCATCCCTGTGCCGGGATGCGGTCGTGATGCAGGATCCCAACGAGTCGCTGCAGCCTCACACGTGTTGGTCTGCTCAGCGCCAAGGACCCAAGCGTTTGACATCCTTGGCACCCAGGGCTGATGGGGCTAAACTGGTCCTCAAGGCACCCTGCCCGCATGGCCAGCTGCCTTTCAGCACCATCTCCTGGCCAGACCCCGGCAGGCTGATGCTACCCTGCCGCAGGAGCCGTGGGGGCGGGGGTCAAACCCAAGCCAGCGATCCCTACCTGCTGCCCAGAACAGGTCTGAACAAACCATTCCCCCGCAAGGAAGGTCTTCGACTGCCCCCAGACTCCAGGAATTGCCACTGTCGAGACAGCAGGCTAAGCACCACCTCCAACTTCTTCCCCAACGTGAAAGCATCGGAGTTGCTCCAAGGGCAAAGAGGTACGTACCCGACAGCGATCTAGCCAGGACCCCTGGAAGCTCAGGGAGTCTTGGCAAGACACAGGAGGCCGCCGCACAGAGAGGAGCCCTGCATCCGTGTACTGTTTGTGCCTAAGCCCTGCTGGCTTTTAAATCAACTTTCTCAATGGGAGGAAATGGGCCGTGTCCGGCACAGAAAGTATTTATTCTACCTGCCCCCAGCAGGAGCTGTGCAGCAGAGCGGCTCCTTGGCAGGTGAAGGAGCTCATAATGAGCAAATTAAGGAGAAAAAAAAAAAAAACACCCTTCTGACCAGATGGTGGCACAAAAACATCAGACCCTAACAGCAGGTAACAGGCTCTGGCCAGAGATCTTGGAAAAATACTGGGCGGGAGCGGCCTGTCCTAGCAGTCGTGGCGTGGAGCGCATGCCAGGTGCGGGCGCACTCCCAAGGCTCCGGCGGGTGACGGCTGTGCTGTCCTTTCCCTGCACTGAAGGCATCCGAAGGCAGGAGCTCCCGAGCCGCACACGGCTCCTGGCTCTTGCTCTGTAAACTTTTCTGTATGCACGTACAGGCCTGGTTACACCGCACAGCCTCCATCTCTTGTCCTTCCAAGCTTTAAATCCTGCTCGAGGCCCTGCGTCGAGGAGCGACACAGCCGAACGAAGCTGTCTCCCAACTCACCTTTCACATGCTCAGATGCACTGGGCAGCGTGCATCAACTACTCACTGGTAACAACCCCCCCAACAAGATGCTGTGAATCACCAGCGTGCTCTTCGAAGTGTTCTTGAGCCACAGCAGTGGACTTTGGAAAGACTTTTTAAAGGGAAACTCATCCCGGTTTTTTCTCTCCTCCCCCAGCAGAACCACAGACCAAACTGCTGGAACAATCGCGGCGCCGTCTCTTTTGTCTGCGCTTCCCTTTCGGAGACGCGTAGTAAACGAATGAAAGTGGAGATGAATTTGATGACATAGACTGTTATTCAGCTACACATCCAGAAGGTTTCTGCAGATAGTGCAAGGCGGCACTGGAGCATCTCCAAACAATCAGCTCGTTCGCCTTTTTGTACTAATGTTTTTCCATGATGAACATTAAAAGTTCCTTGTTTATGCTCGACTGCTTTGACCGAGAGCCCCAGCCTGGCAACAGGATGAAACGACTGCGCTTGCAACCGGCGTCTGGCCCAACCCCAGGATATTCAGTGACTGTCCTGGCTCTGCGAGAGCAGGTCTGGAGGATGGAAGGCAGATGAGGATGCTGCGACGAGGCGTTTACAGCATTCCCCCAGTGCATATATAAGCCCAACCCGGAGAGGACATCTGCCAGGATGACAGACAACGGGCAAGAGCCGGAAAAGCAGAAGCAGCAAGCTAAGAAAGAATCAGGCCCCAACCCGCCTTATCAGTACCCCTCGAAGGCCGTTTCCAGGCAGCGACACACGCTGTGAGCTACAGCAATGAAACTGGTTGCAAATCCAGATCTCCCCAGGTCTGTTTGCCTGCAAGATTCCCTCTAACGGATCACGTTTAACGGATCACGTTTCCCCAGCCGCTAATGGCAGGACAACGCTGCAGGTGTTCTGTAATTAAATACGGCAAGATAACTCAGCAGGAGCAGCCCAGGCACGTTTCCCTCCCTCGTGTCTATAGTCACACACGAGTTCTGCTTTCCAATTAGGCCGTGACCTGCTACCCAGCTCTCCTCGGCGCAGAGCCGGCCACGGGACCGGCTAGCTCACGCTGCAAGGCCATTTTAACAGCAGTGGAGAGATCAGCCTGCAATTTCACACCTCAGTTTTACTGTTTATGCACTGTTTGGAGCTTTACTCCCTCTATAAAGTCAAGTCAGTTCTATTAAGGCAAATAATATTTCCTCATCTCTCATATAGATTTGACATAGCTCAGAAAACACAGAATCACAGAACTGTTTTGGTTGGAAAAGACCTTTAAGATCACTGAGTCCAACTGTGATCCCAGCACGGCCAAGCCCACCCTAAACCATGTCCCTGAGCACCACATCAACTCGCCCCAAACCTCCCCAGGGATGGCGACTCCACCACCTCCCTGGGCAGCCCCTTCCAAGGCCTGTTCCAGGGATGACATCTGTGCCTTGCAGGAGCTCCAGCAGATCAACGCCCCCAGCAAAGCATCTGGTGAATGGCAGTCGGTTCCGACAGCTCGAGGCAGCTCCCACTCCACTCGTTTTACATACAACCTACTGCATTTGGAAAAACAAGGGAATCCACAAGATTTGGGTTCACTTTGAAGCTTTTCCTGGGTGTCAGCACAAGTCGGAAAGGCACATCTGTGGTTTCACACCCCTCCATACGGAGGTCTCCCGGAGAGCCCTCACACCTGAGGCTCACAGGTAGGTGAACAAAAATGAGCAGTAGGAAGCCCAGGAGTAACAATAAAAGAGCTTTAGTTGAATCAAAACGCAGCTCAGGCGCACTGACCTCTGCAGAAGACAGCTTTAACATATGCTGGGCCTGATTCTCGGCTGAATTCAAGGCCCTGATCCCTGTTCACATCAGCAGGACCCAGGAGCCCACGCATCTCCTCCCCAGCTGGAAGCTCAGAGGAAGCAGGAAGCGACATTCCTCTGGGTTTCGGGCTCAAGCGAAGATGCATTTGGTGGGATCGTTACAAGCGGGCAACAGTCCACATGGCAACGTGATTCAGAAAAATCTCTTCCTAAGGGAATTCCCAGCCAAGAATAGGAAAGTAAGGCTGAAGGTCAACATGGAGGTGCCCTGGAAGAACCGCACAAAGGAAGTTCCCATGGCAAGTGACAGCAGCAAAGAAAACTTCACATTCACAACCTAACTTGCAAGGGAGGCAACAACCATCTGGGAGGAGCCAGTTATAGTAAAACTGTTCTTTAAACCCCACGCGTAAAAGAGACGCCCGATCAAGCCCCACGTACCTCACAGGGAGCACCATGGCCTATCTTCTCCACGTGCTGATCCTCCTCTTCATCAGGTGGAGGCTTGGCAGGCGGGGGGGGACGTTCTCTCTGCGGTTTAGAAGACCACTGTCAAGTGCATTGTGTTAAAGCACGTCCCCTTCCGCCTCCACCCACGCTGCGCCCATGCTGCCGAGCATGCAGCAGGCTAAGGCCCTCCTCAAACCAGTCTGGGTGGAGCAGAAGTTCAGCCCTAACAGCACAGAGCGGTGGTTGCTGCCTTCCCTCCTCCTCCTCGCCGGCAGGATTTGGGCACAGTCCTGCGGATGGACTGCCACGGGGAACAGCGACCACCCACCCCTGCTCGGCAGCAGGAACGCTGCAGGAGGGCAGCTCAGACCCACGGGAGCACCAACTACTCTTGCAGGAGAAAAAAAGCCGTTCGGGTGGAAGGTGCTGTGTACACAGGTTTATTGCTTCGTTACTTCAGCCAGTTCATTCCGACCCAGCCCGGTACCCTCAACGGCACCGCGTTACACAGCGAAGGTCAGGCGTGGACTCGTGCAAATGGGTAGAAAGGGAAAACTCACTACTCGTGCCTTAAGGAAACAACAACCTGAGTGATTCCAGAGGCACCTTTTATAATGAAAAACCCTACAGATCAAGAAAGAACGCTGCATCGCATTCCTCAAATATCCCTCGGTTGCCCGTGCCTCTCTCCATGAGAGAACACAGCTCAGGTCACCTCCTGCCCTGCAACAGCTCTTAAGAGAGCAGAGGTGAACCATTCATTCCAAAAACTCCAGCGGGCTTTGGGAGAGACTCCTCCAAGCTCCTGGAGCACAGGCGTCTTTCTTCTCCCTTTTCACTGCAGTTCAGCCTCATCTGCCCTTATCTGTGACAGAGCTGAGCTGATTTCACAACAGACACTGTCACCACAGGGCAGTACGTCGATGGGTGTACGCCACCGAGATTTAAGCGTAACAGTGCTCCTTGTCCTGCGTACCCGAAAGGTCTGGCTGAAACGTCAGTCTTTGAAAGCCTCTGTCTCACTTCTACTCCATTTGCTAACAGAACAGGAAAGAGGATGCAGCTCTTTGCAGAGACGGGGGAAGCATGGTTACAGTACCACCAGCAGGTAAATTGTTCAGTGCTGCTCTGCCTTTCTTCCAAAAACACATCCATGGGGCAGGCTTCGTAAAACCAAGCAGACACCACACCCTGAAGGGGACGCAGCTTGCTGCAAGGCCGGCCTCCCCTCTGCCACCGATCGCTCAGGGGGCAGCAGATGCAACTAACAGAGGGTGAGGGAGACTGCTTTGGAGACAGCCCCGGGAGCTTTGCATTGCGTTGTAAAGCCTTGAGTACCCTCTACAGATCTCTGCAAGGAATACACAACAAAACGTTTCTGCTGCCTAGTTCCCAACAGGATATTCTTCATTTCTTGTGAGCCTTCTCTTGGCCAAAGCAGAGAGCAAGAGAGGTGAGAAAAATGCTCCACAGGCAAGTTTCCAAAGCTTTCTTCACAGAATCCCAGACTGGTTTGGGTGGGAAGGGACCTTAAAGATCATCTAGTTCCAACCCCCCTGCCATGGGCAGGGGCACCCTCCACTAGACCAGGTTGCTGCACCCTGAAGGGGACGCAGCTTGCTGCAAGGCCGGCCTCCCCTCTGCCACCGATCGCTCAGGGGGCAGCAGATGCAACTAACAGAGGGTGAGGGAGACTGCTTTGGAGACAGCCCCGGGAGCTTTGCATTGCGTTGTAAAGCCTTGAGTACCCTCTACAGATCTCTGCAAGGAATACACAACAAAACGTTTCTGCTGCCTAGTTCCCAACAGGATATTCTTCATTTCTTGTGAGCCTTCTCTTGGCCAAAGCAGAGAGCAAGAGAGGTGAGAAAAATGCTCCACAGGCAAGTTTCCAAAGCTTTCTTCACAGAATCCCAGACTGGTTTGGGTGGGAAGGGACCTTAAAGATCATCTAGTTCCAACCCCCCTGCCATGGGCAGGGACACCTTCCACTAGACCAGGTTGCTCCAAGCCTCATCCAGCCTGGCCTTGGATACTTCCAGGGATGGGAAATCCACAGCTTCTCTGGGCAACCTGTCCCAGTGCTTCCCCACCTTCTCCAGGAAGAATTCCTTCCTGATGTCCCTAACCCTAATCAATCTTTCTCTTTCAGTTTAAACCCCTTGTCCTGTCACTCCTTGCCCTTGGGAAAAGATAAGGTGCTCTAGACAAGGCGTTTGCCCTTCAGCTCACTGCAATGTCCTGACAACCCAAAACTCACAGGCACCAGCATCCAACGGCCAGAAAACAGGACGCAATGCTAGCGGGAAATCACGCGTGCAGAAGTGGCTACTCGTGGGCAACACGTGGAGGTTGTCTGAACAGGCCAGTGCAAAAGGAGAGGTACCTGCCTGCTCTAACCGGTGTCAGGGGTGGTTTAAAGATTTCCCCAAGCTGGAGGATTGGCAGCCTGCTGCAAAATCGTGAAAGCAGAGGTAAGTCACCTCTCCTTTTAAGGCAGCAGAGGACACACACATAGCTACGTACAGGCCTGACTCCTGCTGCCTTCAGACCGGCTGACTCCACCTCCTTATTCACAGACTCTCGATCTGAGGATCTCCCACTGGCCAGGCTGTCCAGGGAGTGGCAGGACGTCGCGTTGTATAAAGCTTCGTACGGGCTCTCCTCTTCCGGATTGACATCAAAATCGATGATCAGCTCCGTAACAGCTTTCTCCACATCACCTGTGAGGGGAAGAGAGACAAGTCCATCGGGGTTTCTGCCCTCGGGCGGGCGGCACTTGCAGGAAGAAGAGCGCTAGTGACGGCCGTGTCGCACGGAAGCCTACCCTGGGATAGCCGGCACACAGGATCGGTGGCTGGAACAAGCGGCGCTTGAACAGTCTTCTCTGCAGCTTTGGCACTTTTCTTCCCAACTGTGTAATCTGCAGGGAGGTGGGGGGACAGGGTCAGGTTATGGCAATCGAGTTTTATGCCCACTTCAGCATATGGTACTTCCTCCCTTGGGGATGGAAGGCCAACTGTCAGCTTAGGATGTCTCCAAAAAATAACCAGAGTGCATTATTAGAACTTGCAGCTCAGCTCCCAGAACAGAAGCAGGCGGCCTCTTTAATCACATGCACAAGGTTAAGGGTGGTTCTTTGAACTTCCACAGAGTCTTTAATCAGAAAGCTGCAACGCTCCTGTACGGACACAACATCACGGAACAGACTGCTTCATGCTTTGGACACAAGCTACATCACTTAAGAGACGTAGTCTGGTCTTCTGGAGTCTTAAGATGGAGAAATCGATTCTAGCTCTGGTCCCCTAAGCACAGGAGCAGCCAGAAACGCTAAGCTTAGGTGAACGATCTCAGACAGCAACATCTCACGCAGGCTGCTCGCTTACAGCAGCCAAGTAATGGCATTTACCTGCAGGAACTTCGGCTTTAAAGCCCATCCTTGTCTTCCACTTCGGACTAGAGATAACACCTACCAGCCTCACAGGCAACGCTTAACTAAAGTCTGCAAAGTGCTGTGAACCTGTAAAGCTCTCAGATGCTAAGCATGAATAATGCACACCAGTTGCATACGCTGCTGATCTTTCTCCCCACAGCTGAGAGGAAATTGAGACAGCATAATTACAAGGTATGAATTTAGCTAAGACACCACATTTTGTTCCCTAACTTAGACACAATGGGCCAAGCTCCTTTATAAACTACGAGTAATCAAGGCCTTTTCTGTAAATCTCATCTGCAAAACCCAAGCCCAGGCTTCACAATGGAGTGGGGAAGAGGATGTAAGATCCGTGGACAACTATTTGCCTACACAGACATATAAAGGATGGTTAATCCAAACCCATTTCTAAAGCTGTTACTTTGCATTTTGCAAGCAGATTTAGGCTAGCCTTAATTTTAATTAACTTCTGAAGTGAGTTAAACAAAGCTCAATTAAGCCCATTTAAACTGTAAAAGTCATGCTGCACTCCAGCAGAGGAGCTAATCCCCCTAAATCCCCCTCCTGGCAGCACCCCTGCAAACACTCGGTCTGAGGACAGTTCACCCAGACGTTTAAGCATCAACCCTTCCAACACCTGTAAGATTCCCCTTGAAGAACCTGACCTGAAGCTGCTTTGCTTCTAGCACTTTCCAGGACTAGAGAACAAAACCCTGTAAGTGCAGTGGCACAATTAGCACCCCAGATTCTCCCTCCTGCCCACACACAGAGAGCTACGTCACCCACCTTCGATAAGAGCTGCAATGTGTTGGCTTTTCTGAGAAGGGAGCTCCCTCACAATATCCAGAGCTGTCAGGCCTCTGTTATCCTTTATGTTCACATCAATACCTGTGGCAGCAGGGGTAAAGAAGGCAAAAGCAAGAATGTTTTCTAACTACGTGCCAATTCACGTCTTCTATCAAGTCAGATCTCACATTAGTGATCATCGCTGGGGACAACTAAAAAAATGCTCTGGAGAGACAGACCTAAAGCCAGACACCGAGATAACTTCTCCTAGAACCCTCTCCAGGGACCTCGGACAGCCGGTTGGAGAGACATGCTACACAGGGATTTCCCCAAGTTCAGGGTGAAGGGATCACCACATTATTGCTTCGAAAGGGGATCATTCTCTCACCTGCAGCCAGCAATATTTGTACCACATCTGTCTTGCCAAACAAAGCAGCTTCGTGCAAAGCACTGCCTTTTTCAGTCTGCAAATTAAATGGAAAAATAGCATGAAGCTGGACAGTGGGGAATGGCGATGGAGGCCTGTTTTAGAAGGTTACAGAAGCAATAAATACACGGCACCGCATACGAAGTGTGGGCAATGATATCTACAACTGAGGACAGACTATCAATATGATTACAGTGCTGAGAAACTGGAATGGAAAATGGGGGTGAGCTCTTCAGAAACACATGCGGGCCCAGGTTGGAGACCAAGAAAGGACTTTCTACAGCTTAGCAAGAGGTCATGTCCTGAACAGGCAAGACAAGACCACCACATACAAGCTACTGCTGTGAAAACAGCATATTCACATGTGGCTTGATAGGAAGAGACACACTTTGTCTCCAGCGCTATCAAGAGCTCAGTGCTGCAGGGCAGAACAGCTTAGGCAAAAGGGCTTTTTTCCCCCTCCCTCGCTGTATCTGGGGCTCTTAGTCCAACTAACAAGCAGGCATGAAGCATGCACAGCACCAGAATCCCTCTGAGCAGCTTCTCCGAGCAACCAAGAGCTGAACAAACAGCCCAGAGGAAAACAAAGCTATCGCTCATCTTCCATAAACGATCCCTCTGGGAGGAGGGTTGGGTGCAGCTCTCGGTATCGCGACTACAGGGGTTCTCCGCCCCCCAGTCAGCCCACCCCTTCACACACCGACACACGAGGTACCTGATAGTTGCTGTCCATGCCGGCATCCAGGAGGACATGGACTACAGTTTTGTGACCGTTCCTAGCTGCCAAGTGCAGGGGCGTGTGTTTCTTCGTGTTGCAGCTCAAAAGGTTGGGGTGAGCGTTCAAGAGCATCTTCACGACTTCCAGCCTCCCGTAGAGCGCGGCCAGGTCCAGGGGAGTCTCGAACTTGTTATTGCGCATGGTGGGGTCGGTCAGCTCCTCCAGAAGGACCTTCACCACCTCTGTGTGGCCGTACTGCGCGGCACAGTGCAGCGCCGTCTCGTTGTCGTTGTTCTGGGGGGGGATGGAGGGGGGTGTCACCAACGCCAGCGCGTCAGAACGGGGGGAGAGCAGAGCTGCTCCGTGCCTCGCTCAAACCATTGAAGTTTAAATGCAAAAACAAGACAAAAAAGCAGTTGGGAAGCGAGAGCCCAGTTTGAAACAGAGCCCGGAGGGATGTTTTCACCATCTCAGTAGCCATTTACCAGGCACAGATATCCCCTCAGGAGCTCGTCAACCAGCCCACCCAGTAAAAGCTTCCAAAACATCCAAACCAGTAAGATATTCTCAGATATGGGAAATCTGCTCTACGGGAAATAGGAGTTAGGTATGGAATAGCCTGCTTTCAAAGCACTGAGGTCAAAAATCGAGGGACCACGCTGAAGTTTAAGGGACTATCAAGCTCTATCTGGATTCCCATGAATCCTGCAAGCACTTGGGGACAGCAGCCTGCTACTTGTTGGCAGCATCCCAACACTTTGGGGAACCACAAAAATAAAAGGCTGCGATACACGACAGGCCAAGCGCAGCATGAGTTCTCTCTGCTGCAGCTTAATCGTCACCAGTTTAGATTTAAACTTCAATTGTTTCATATCCTACTTATCCTGATTATAACAGTCATTCCACCTTTGCAATTCCCAAGCTGGCAAGCTGGCCGGTTCAGAGAGAGGGTGCATGGAGTTACATGCAGTTCATGAATTAGAAAGCAGCGCAATTAGATCAATCCACTAACAGGCCCTTGTAGTCAGGGTCTCGGGTCAGCTGAGGAAAGATGCCCAAGCGACAAGAGTGAAAGCCAGATCCAATTAACGCATGCAGCTTCTGTCAGGTTAAAAAAAAATCAGCAGTGCAAAGCGGTGACAGACAGGCAACCTAACACATTTCACCTGCAGGTGCAAAACAGGAACACTGCCAGGTTTAAGAGAGCCTTTACTCAAATGAAATTCAGCTCAAGTTTCCAGTTTTACTACTAGAAATGGAGGATTTCTGTTAAAGGACTGCAGAAACAAATGCTGATCTAACAATTTGGCCAACCCCCCCTTAAGAACTGCTACACACTTCAACTTTAGCTGAAAGAATCGTGGTTGGATTTGTCATTTTAAGAACAGTTCCTATTAAAAACCCCTGAGAACGTACTTCTCTTGGAGTGAGAAGCACTACTTTAGAAACTGAGTTTTATCAAAACACCTTCCTTTTCGCTTGGAGCGCGCAAGCGGGTTTTTTGGGACACCAGCTTGCAGGAGCAGTCAGTATTTTGCACTGTTTCACAACCCCGCTGCAGAACTTGCTCTGCTGTACAAGTACTTTAATCCTGTTAACGTGTTCAGTCATCCCGGGGATTACAGGAGCCGTGCATGCAAACCCCCATTTGTTCTCATCTGCCGTTTGCATGGGTTTTCGGCCACGTGAAAAGCGGAAGGGCAGCGAGGAGCTCTGCAGAGGCGTTGAAGCTGCAACTTGTGTAAAAGCAAGGGCCAAGGAGGCAAGAAGCAGCAACAGGCACATGCAGAAGTGAGCTATTTGAGAAGGTAAGGAAGGCACGACATCACTGTTAGCACCGAAGTTCAAACAACAGGCTCTATACTTGGAGTGGCAGAGGCAGCCATGGTGAAGGAAAGCACATACAAGTGGACAGAAGTTACTGTAGAACAGAAGTCTGCACAGAAAATACACATACGGAGTGAGAATGGGAGAGAACAGAGGTTTACAGAGATTACACCTATCAATCCACTCAGGCTGCCGGTCTCGAGGTGTTTAAAAGGTCGGTACATCGCGTATTTGATAGGGAAGGGAACCCCGGTCTCCGGGAGCCCGTGACGCAGCCCGGCTGCGGCCCCCCGCCTGCCCAGGGAGGCTCGCTGCCCGGTTCTGCAGAGTAGATAACCCCGGAGCCACGGGGGTACGCACCTCCCGTGCCACGCTGGCCCTGGGGACTGCCACTGCTGGGGCTGTCCCCTCTCTCATCCCTCCCTGGCACACAGGCCGTAGCCCTCAGGGGTGCTTTAGAGCACGCAGCAACTCCAAACACCTGCCTGATGGCTCCGCCACGGGAACCCAACATCCTTTAATAACATAATTGTTGGAGATTTCCCCCATCTTCGCTGCAATTTAGTCTCATTTTCCTTAAGCAGCTCAGGGCGAAATCCCCAGACTTTTCCTGCTGCAGCAGAGATCAGCAGGTGGTTAACTCCCTGGAATCCTTACATCAAGTCCTTCCCCATCTCGGGCTGTGTGCTGGAAACTCCCGCTGTTGCACAAGTCTTTATGGCCTCAATTTTGGGAGTTTTGAGCAGCTAAAAATGCTGTTCCAGGCAAGGGAGTTTGCCTCCCTTCCCTGCACCGCCTCTCCAAGCACAAACCCGAGCAGAGCCTGAACAATGAGCCCGAGCGCTCCGACATATTTATTGGAGATGGAAAAAAGAAAATTCCTTTCCAGCAGCCAGAAGGCATACGGGTTCAGATTTCAAAACTTCTCAGAAAAACAGAGCACTCGACAGGGCCCAGGGGCTGCATTCTTGCAGGAATCCTAGTAGCACCCCCCCAGTTCGCAGCTGGGCTCATCCTATGCCCGCCGACAGACCACAGAACGGGAACGCAGGCCGAAACGTCTCTGCTTCCACAGGGGCTCCAGCAAACGCTTCGAGGCCTGGAAACCGGATACCACCCACCATAACCCTCACGCTCCTCGTCACACACTAAGCTGGAGCATCTACAGCTCTTTAAAGGGTCTCTGTCTGCACTCCTGGTCCTGACACATCCCAAGAGGGGTCTGGTTGAAGAAAGGGAGGTTTAGTGTGAATAAGGGAAAGTTTTCTCACTTTCTAACCTGTGGGGATTTGAACGGTCGAATAAACTGCCAAAGGAGAGGGCAGAGTTGCCTCTCCCAGGCTTCTGAGAGGGTGCTCGACAGACACAGGCCAGGAATGGTTGAAGTAGACCTGATCCTGCCTCCGGGCTGGGGAAAGAGGTGACATGACCCTTCAGTCCCATCCAACCTATTTCTGAGAGTCCTCTGCAGGGTTTCTGTCGGTGTGTGCGTCTGATGCAGGCTCACCCCGTGCCAAACCCGCTGATAACCGCTCCGGCGACACAGCCGATCCGACAGCACAGGGCCCTCCCACGGGCACGCAAAGCTGCTGTTTCAGTGAAAGGCAGGCCAAAATCAACTAAAATACACCCACTAAGCAAAGCCCAGACTTGTCAGGAGGTGTCAACCAAGGCACATCACAACCCTAGGCACACAGCAGGCCAGAGATGCCGGCGGGGGCTGTCGGGTCAGTGGTCCCGTCTTGGGCGGCAGACGATTTCCGTCGGTGCCCCGCACGGCACTGCCAGCAGCGGAGTCAGGCCCAGCAGAGCTCCTTCCTTCCCACAGCTGCCCAACAAGGCCAAACCCATTTCAGAAAATACACAAAAAAACCCAATCCCCATGTGTCCAGCAAGCGTTCAGGAGCTCCGCATGTGGGTCCGCTGCTCAGGTTCATTTGCAGGCACCAGGCAGTAGGCTTCCACTGTCCTCAGCATCCCACTTGGATTTACAGCACTTGAAACTCCATCTGCACAACTCATTTGCTCCCAGTTAAAAAAGACAAAGGTAGTTTGTGCGGAGCACAAACCCGAGCTGCGCGACAGCTTTTTCTACTGCGGCTGTGCCGGGCTGGTTGGTTCCTTCACACAAGTTCAGTGCCCACAAGCAAGTCAGCGAGGCAAAGCTGCTGCTCCATCTCTCAGCTTGGCTTCTACCGTTTGCTTTCAGAAGTCCTTCAGGCCTGTGATCGACATATTGCAGGGGCTCCTAACGAAAAGATGTTGAAAAGGGGGCATAAAAAGAAGCTGTTAACTTTATTTTTTAGCTTTTTAAATTTTTAGAAGAGCAAGAAGCTTCTGGCTTCCTTATCTCTTCCTCGACAGGATACTAAATTGTAGTCCAGCCATATATAAATGCTTTCCCTCTCTTTTACATATCCCAAAATGTCTGGAAAGATGAAACATCTCACTTGGATCACGTCTATAGGACAGCCCATCCCGCATGGGAGCTGAGAAGCTGGAAGCACCAAGCAAGGACTCTCACACTTTGCAGTTGGACTTGTTCTGGTTCTCCCACCTGCCGCCAGACTACTGCGAAAACATCAAGGATTGTGTGATTCGTACGGTTCCACATGGTTCTTCATCAAACTTGCTCAGAAACTGGTGGAAAGCTGGCCAGAAACTTGTGATGAACCTAATAGGTGATGTATTAATCATCCCTCTCTCCTCAAAACCAAGGCAAAGATTTAACAGCACTTCATAGCCTCATGGAATGGTTTGGGTGGGAAGGGACCTTAAAGACCATCTAGTTCCAACCCCCCTGCCATGGGCAGGGACACCTTCCACTAGACCAGGTTGCTCCAAGCCTCATCCAGCCTGGCCTTGGACACTTCCAGGGATGGGGCATCCACAGCTTCTCTGGGCAACCTGTCCCAGTGCTCCCCACCCTCTGCAGGAAGAATTCCTTCCTGATGTCCCATCTCAGTCTCCCTCTTTCTGTTTCTTGTCCTGTCACTCCCTGCCCTTGGAAAAAGTCCCCCCCAGCTTCCTTGCAGCCCCCCAGGCACTGGAAGGGGGTCTAAGGTCTCCCCGGAGCCTTCCCTTCTCCAGGCTGAACCCCCCAACTCTCCCAGCCTGTCCCCATGGCAGAGGGGCTCCAGCCCTCGGAGCACCTCCGTGGCCTCCTCCGGACTTGCTCCAACCAGTCTATATCCTTCTGATGTTGAGGGCTCCACAGCTGGACGCAGTATTCCATATGGGATCTCCCCAGAGCGGAGCAAAGGCCTTGTTTGAGAGCACTTCAGCTGTCTCGTCAAAAACTGAATACTTAAAAATTCACACGCAAACAAGCCCAGTTCCATTGTATTCCATATGGGATCTCCCCAGAGTGGAGCAAAGGCCTTGTCTGAGAGCACTTCAGCCATCTTGTCAAAAACTGAATACTTAAAAATCCACATGCAAACAAGCCCAGTTCCATCTTTCTGTTCCTTCTTCATTCAACATTTTAACGCTGGAGTGTACAAGACTTCACTCGGTTATTGACAACAGTTTAGGAAGCTCCTTCCAGGCAGCTGAACTGCTCGACTGTTTCCCCAGGAGACGTTTGTTGCTGTAAAATTCCCATCCGGATTTTTTCTAAAAATCACTGATAGGGACGAGCTTCATGTAAACATATTTGTGCTCCAAGAGGTATGCACCAGAGTATTCCCTGAAATAGAAGCCTGCAAAACCAAACACGATTGCGAGCGGGTAGCAAGCTCAGGAATTTTGAATGTATGTTTTTAGAGGTACTGCAGATCAGAGTGAAAGTTTTAACTAAACTCTGAGAGACAGAAATCCGCCACGGATGGCTGGATCCAAAATAATTGGCTGGAAGCAACTTGGCGTGGTGGCTTAGAGCAGAAGTATGTCATGATAGATCAGCAGGCTGCTGTGCCCATCACCGGCCGGCAGCTTTGCTGGAAGTAAAAATGAAACACGGTGAGTGTCTGAGAAATCACCCCCATGCACTGGGTGACCTCCTCACGGCTTCCTCAACTGCTCGGCCGCAGGGCATCCTAAGTGCTGACGTCCCGCCTTTCTGCAGCTCAAGAACAACTAAAAGCAAGAGAGGAGCAAAACAGGCAAGAAAACAGGAACAGAAGACCAGGGCTGAAGGGTCAGACGGCACAACAGACTTCACACCAAAAAAAAGAAACTGATGCGATAAGCAGGACATGAAGGACTCGGGAGGGAGGCGTGAACGTTACTGCCTGCCCTCCTCCCCACCGCCACCGCCAGAATTAACTGTCCCTTCAAACGACAAAATACAGCATTAGGCATTTGGTAGGAGAAAAGGCATGAAAATTCACTCCAAACAGCCCACAGAGGAAACGCATCCATGTTTAAGCAGAGAGAAAAACACACCTTCTCATTGCATTTCCCAGCAATATTAGCACACGAAACAAAACCTAAAGCATTTTAATGGAAATAACTTTACCTTTTGGAAGTCATCCAGCCAAATCAAGCAAACTGACCATCACCGTGAGTCCTACAAGGCTAAGCAATGAAGGAGCCCCGGGAAAATTAAGGAAAAGCTTCCCTTAAATTACGTTTCTACAACTGCTTTGAAGAAAGAAACCCACAGTCAACACAGGGTCCCGTTTTACTCTCCCCCAGGCCGCTGCACGCTGCTGGGGTGTTACTGCAGCTGGATGCCATGGCACCTGGAAGCACGCGAGTGCGGGTTGGAGCAGTGACGCAGTGAAATGCTGACAGCAAAGTACACACCTTGGCATTGATATATGGGTCAAAGGGGCCGTACTTTTTGAGTTCTTTGATCTCAAGAGCATTCTACAAAAAGGAAGAGGAAAAAGAAAAAAAATGTGATAATGAAATGGGTGAGAAATAGCAACAAAGCAACGGGTGACTTCCAGGGGGTGGAAATGACAGAACACAGCATCTTGTTCCAGTCAAAGCTATTAACAGCAGACACCGTTTTAGCTGCCGGTTCCTGGAACTCAAACCACTCTGCGTTTCGTTTACAAGACTGCGAGCAGAGGCAGCACAGGCTCTTCGGCTGGCTTTTCTCAGGTACAAGGGCCCTTGCTGAACAGACATGGACGAAACCTTACCTGGAAGGATTACACTAAGCTTTAAATCTTCAGCAAAGGTTTCCCCTGTACCTGTCCTACTCAGCGAAGAGTTTATACGCTCAGGACCCTCAGGTAATTCTTATCAGGTTGATTGTGAAGAGCTAACTGTAATTTTCAGATCTGAACACAGTGAGTGCCTGCAGTTGTGCCTGAAGACACAATTAACCACAGCCCCAAAACCTGCCAGAGTCATGAAAACACACACTTGTAGTGATTTCTGCTCAACTGAGGCGAGGCAGTGAATAGCACTACCACTACACTTTTCATTTCATAGAATCATAGAATGGTTTGGGTTGGATTTCATGATGCTTTAGAAGCAACCATTTAGCCTTGGAGCAGCCTGATGCACCAAGTTAGCCATCTTAGGCACAGAAAACCTAGCGTGGCACTTCAGTTCCCACAATATGGCTGGAAGCAGGATTAGGGCTCCTAAACCTGACTCCAAAGGGAGTTTACTCAGAAAAGTATATGCCACAGATCAAAACTACACAGCAGAAACTCACAGTTCCCAGCAGCTCATCCTGACTTTGACAGATTCTGCTAAAGCAGGAGCATCTGACCTACTTGTGAATTAACTTCTGAGCAATTCCACGCTTTTAGCCTCGTGGTACCAAGGCAGACAAACCTACTGTCCTGTAAACCCGAGTGGTTTAGGAGTAGATTCACAGGGACAACAGATATTCCTGCCTTAAGGACAGGGCAGCCGAGGGCTGCTGTAGCTTTAGCCTCTGATTTGGATCTGTAACTGCATGTCTGCCCAAGCTCACTCAGCCATTAGAGGTTCAGCAACACCTGCCCTCACTCAGTAAACCAGTGCCCTTATCCAAAATTCAACATAAGAAGTACTTGGGTCTTCCAGCAGTAACGTTTCAGAAGTTCCTTGGAATTGTAAGACACCTGCTGACTTCCACAGGGAAGTTACACAGGCACCAGCCTCCAAAGTGGACCCAGTGGCTGCTGTACAGAATAGGTGTCTCCTACAAATCAATCCCTCTGCATCCTGCACCAAAAACTACCAGTGTGACAAAGGGAAGTAATCCAACAAATTTTTTTTCTTGCCTGGTTGAGAAAATAATTCTTTAAGATTAAGCTAGGGATTTACCTGGGGGCAGCAGGGTTAAAATTATCTTACAACTGACAAATCAGTTAACTGGAGCAAGTGCTAGAGACAAGCCAGGAGAGTAGCTAAGAGAGCATGGCCACGGACTAAACAAAGCTGCTTTGATTAGTTCCCAAGGAGGGAGCCAATGTGTCCTTTGAGAGAACTAGAAACCTTCTCAGCTACCCAGCCACTGAAAGGGGTTAGTTTTAGAAGCCCAGTATGAAAGCAGACCACTTCCTAGGTGCCGAGTGGTTCTCATAGCTATTTAAACACATATACCTTACTCATTCGACCACTAGCCCAGAACTGGAGGTTCTGCTTTAGGCACTGCCCTTTTTGTCCCATTTATAACAACTACTACTAGTTTGGGAAGGGTCAGAGCCAGCTGAAGTTGTCTCTCTCCATCTGACAGAAGCTATTCAAGGATATATTAGAGAAACCAGGCAGACCTGCTCATTCACTTTGGTATGGGAAGGTCCTTGGTGGATGAGGAGCTTCACGATGTCTGCATCGCCCTTCCACGCGGCCAGGTGCAGAGGGTAGCAGCCTTTGCAGTCTGCTACGTTGGTCAGCGCGTCGTTCCTCAGCAGAACTTCCACAACGTCCCTGCAAGAGAAGGAAACTTGAGTCCCTAAGATATTCAGGCCTTGTTTCACCGCTTACATTCTTGCAGTATTTCACAAAGAGTTAACCTCAACAAGAGCATTTCAGAGATCCCCCTTGAAACGTGATTGTAAAGTGTTTCTACTAAATGCTGCCCAAGGGGGAAAGAACAAATAAAGAAAGGGAGTGCTGAGATGAGCTCAGGAAAGATCTGCGTCATCCACAAGCCACTGGTGAAAAGTGAATTGCACCAGCACAATGAAGATGAATAAAGACTTTAACTCTATTCAATGCCTCGGTATCTTACGCAGCAAAGAACAATACAAGTTTTACCACACTGAAGACTGGAGTTACTTAAAAATGTAGTAAGCACGAAAGCAGATTTTCAGTGGTGCAGGCACAGCAACACATTGGACATCAGACAGACTGCAGAGGACTGTTACTGGAGAAACCACCTTTAATATGCTGTTATTCCTCATCCAAACTGCTTATAAGTAAAAGGGTGGTTGAAAACATCAGTGTTTCACCACATTTTGAGGGATGTGTGATGGTACCGTGCGGCAGCCAAAGCCTCTACAGCTTCACTGCACTCATGTCCTTCACTTCGTGACCTGAAGATGGTGTAGTGCTGCACCATCGACATGTTTTCAGTGGAAACGGCATTAGACTGGTGAAGGAATTAAGAGAGAAAGCACATAGTATCCCCTGTGACCAAAGGCATTGTAAGAGGACTCACTTATGACCATTCAAAGCAGCATGGTGCAGTGGAGTGTATCCAGTACTGTCAACGCAGTTCACATTTGGCCCTCTCCAGATGCTGCAAGACAGAAAACGTACAGGGAACACTTAGGCATACACCAAACAGACGGACAGCTGGCAAGGACAAGTTTCAGCCGAGTTCTCACACCAAGCTGGTTATCTGGAAGCACACAGTGATGCAGAGAACAGACCGTGCAGCACTGCGGCGAGCAGAGGGGTTAGTGCCACACAGCGCACAGCCGGTACAGGGGTTCGCTACTCAATGCTGTCTCATCCTGGTTCTAAATCAGAGCTCCCACGTTCTCCTGCCACCAGACGTCTTGTAGCCATACATGTGCCTGCCAAAAAGCATCTTCAGAGGAGCAGGAGTCTATTAAAGTTAACCACAAGAGACAGTAAAGCATCAACCCGCTGCTGATTCACACCCCTCCGAAGGATTTTGATGGGTCTGGGAAACCCTCTTCCCGCCATGGCAGGAGTCACTAGGGGTGCAAGTCAAAGCCTGTGGGATACAGAGCCTGCTCCTGGTCACCAGTGGGATTCCACACTGACTCCTTACGGTCCAAAACCCACTTCCATCTGACAGCTGCTGGCAGTCTCTATGGAAGAGTAGGTGGTCTCCAAGCACTTCTGCGAATATTAAATTCCCTCCCGTGTTCTGAAGTCCGATGCCAAGGATTTAAGGATTAACCCTGTAGAGGATTAATCTTCCCTCCAACCCCTGCAAGGTGCCCTATTTAAGAGTGGAGAAACGCGGGTGTAAGCTGCTGGCACTGCTCGGGAGTTTGCTGTTCCAAGGAGCTCGGTTTCCACTGTCACCCCCCTCTCCCAGAAAGGGCACGGGGACTCCAGTCAACACGCTCCTTTAAGCAAATGGAAACCATTCGCCCTCTCCGTTACCACCATCACTCCTGGTACGCTGGCCTTCATACTTCCAAGAACCATACAGGATTTATTGTCGGCCTAGACAACCGCTTTTGCTCATACAGTCCACTTTCCTACGTTGTTATCTTTAACGAGGGGTAGGACTTAGCAGCACCCTCTGATCCCCAATTTAATTGTCTTAAAACAGTCAACTGTTGCTCTTCATGAAGCAGTCCTTTCCTGATCATTTCATTTCCTCCCCAGCATGCAATCCCTACGGCTCACGGTGTGACACGGAGGCAGCCCAAGCACTAACTAGGTTTTCTAAAATAACAGTCATTACTAGAGGGCTCCTAGCCAGAAAAAACTCTATACCACAGTGTATGAAAGCAGCAGGAAAGGCACCAAACCAACAGGAACCTCGTGCAGTCCAAGTGGAAATTCAGAAGTAAACTAAGCAGCACGCTTACTCTCAAGCAGGTTTCGGGTGGGATTCAGGAGCACGCTCTGAAGTGGAAAGTCTCTCCCCTCCAAGTGGCTCCTGATCCAGCAGAGCCTTATAAAAGGCTTTGCGTCCTGGGACAGACACGAGCTCTGCTAGAAAAGAGGCAGCTAAGGCAAAACTTTATCCAAGAGGACAGGGAAGTAAGCCACAAAATCCCATTTGCAAAGGATCAGAAGGCTTATCCAGAGGCATTCCCGCACACCACACCACCATCCCGCGCTTCAGAAGCGAACAACCAACCAACACACGCATGCAATGCACTTCAAGCAGTCGTCTGCAGGAGGATGGCTTTAACCACGTCCAGAAACCACGTGAGACGGACACACACCCTCAGACTGGTCCAGGGGGTGCCCTACCCCAGCCAGCTGCAGCAGCCCTCAGTATGAAGGGGACCCGAGCTGAATCTCCGGCTCCGGTTTATTTTTGGCAGCGGGCTCATGCAGTGTGGTTGCCCAAATAATTTATTGCTGGATTTAAAGTGGCAATTAATGGTTAAAATTAGAGCCAGGACGACTTGCGTGCAGTCTGGAGCAGTTATAAACGCTGCGCATGCCCTCGCACGGGCGGCTAACCTGAGCAAAGGCAGAGAGCGCGGCGGTTTTACACCTCAAACAGAGCCGCGTGCGGATGCCGGGCTCAAAAACCTTCCGGGTGTACGGATGCAAAGCCAGCAGCGACGAACACAAGTGTTTCTTTCAGCTGAAGTTAAGTAAGGAAAGCCCAGGTTTGATGGGCATCAACCACGTCACGTGCTCAAAGCGATCCGCCCTGCCGGCGGCCAGGCTGGGGACTGGAGCCCAGGACATCCGTCTCCACCAGGACACGGTCTCCCGGGGAGAAAACGCACTTCCATAACCTTCCTTAGAAACTTTCTGGTTGATGCTTTGGAGTAAAATGAAAAGCTGGACTCCAAAACGGAGCTGGTTCAACCGCGAGCGCTGGGTACCGCAGAATTAAGTAAAAAACCGTAATAATCTGCTGTGTCCTTTCCTCTCCCTTTGCCCTTTTATTCTTGCAAATAAAGAAAGCTTTTATCAAAGAAAGGTCAAATAACCCAGAAGTTCAGACTGAAAGGATCCAAGAACTATTTATATTTAGCTGGGAGGACTGCAGGGAAGTGTATCAGCCTCTTCCCTCCTCTTCCTCTCCAGCTCTGCCAGGACGGCCACGCAGTTGCGACTGAGCAGAAACCAAACCTTTCATCCCATTTTGATTTACGCAACGCATAGCGTTAAAGTCCCCAACTAAGATAAGATCCCGAGCTTCTCACGTTGGATCTAAACACAGGAAAACTACTCCACTGTGGCCTGCAGGAACGAGGAGTTGGAAAAACACTAGGCATGGGAACGTGACTTCTGCAAGCCACTGCCGTTCCTTCGGAGCGCTGTTTGCAGTGCCTGGCGCATCCGATGGGAATGACATCTCAGGGAAAACCTGTAGGAACTGTGGCAGAACTGCTGGAAACAAGGCCAGGCTCTCATCTAAAATACTAGGAAAAGCCCCTCAGACCACTTTGGGGAGGAGGTGGGTGCTGTGGGATTAAAATTGCATCTTCTGAAGTGAGGATATTGTCAGGGCTTTTCAGGCCAGACAGGGAAAGTTAAAGAGGTTTAAGTCAACAGGAACAACTCATCAAGATGTGGAGGTGTCTGGCTCATGGGCACGCAGAGCTCCATTCAGCCTGCCCCACTCCAGGAACTGTGAGGGACAAATAAATATGGAATAGTCACAGTCACAGAGTGGTCGGG